ATATATATATATATAAAGAAACAATATTTATAATATTTAAGTGATTATTGGATTATGAATTATTATTTTAAGAGATTGCACTTTAAAAGAGCATTTCTATTTTAATTTTTTTAAACTTTTTTAATAGTAAATAAACACTATAAAATTAAACATAATACTTTATGTATATTTTCTATAAAAATATTTACTATAAAAAACTTTGTAGAATATTGCATTATTTAATTGTTATAATACAGTACAATATAATTTGTACTATTATACTTGAATATTGGATAAGGATTTTTAAAAATCATTTTATAAAGACTGCACTTAAAATGAGCAATTTCTATTGGACAAAATAGAAATTTTAGGAAGAAAACATATTTAACTATTTTATTGTAAAAAAAAAACAGACTATACAAATAAATAGAATATTTATATTTTTATTATATAAATATTTTTATTTTCTAAAATCTGATATATGATAAAATATTTTATTATATATATATATGTGTATGGGTGTGTGTATATGTAAAATTTTACAAGCAAATATTTTTATAGTAAATATTTTATACCTTTAAGAAATTGAGATGGCACTTATTTCTAGTTAATAAAATATTTTATAAAACAAAAATATTTACCTATTTTTATAGTAAATAAACACACTATAAATGTAAATAGAATATTTTCTTGTGACGTCATAACAATCTATATAAATATTTACTATAAAAATTAACTATTTGTATTTTCTAAAATATAAGTAGAACATCATATATTATATTACAATATATTATATAAATTGCTTATTATAAGCAATTTTTACAAATATTTTATACACTTAAAAATTCCACTTTTCTATGCCCTGGAAATTGGAAAAGTATATATTGACTTACCATTATCATCTGAGTGTGGCGAAAAAATAGCAATATCATGGAAGCGGGTGTTGCAGTGTACAGTACTTTGGTAATATTGGCTGTATGATTCTTTCTTTCTATCTGATGGTATAAATAAGCGCTAATAAAGTGTGTGGGCCGATCACAGGGAGACAGATTTGATCATTTCAGCTCAGACAGTTTTGATGCTGCTAACCTTTTAACTCAATGAGTGTGTCTATTCGCTTTTCCCTGAAATGATTTATTGAAATGCATTTGCTTTCTACGGCACAAATATCTCTCTTTCGTTCTTTCTTTCTTTCTCTTTCTATTATTGGCAATGTAAGAGAGATGCAATCATGCACTTTGCAACTAACTTGTTTTGGTCGTGATTCGGGATCTGACACTCCATGAAATGTTAGATTTGTATTTGAGTATCGGTTTGTGGCCGGAGCTCCAGCACTTTACAGAATTAGATTTACAGGACATGAATAGAGACGGATAAAACGTGTCATTGAACCCTCAGTGTAACACAAGCACTGGCAGTGAATGCAGGAGAATCGGGGTCAGACGGATCTGTGCCATCAATCTGATCTTTACGCTGCCGTCTTTATCCGTCGGTGGGTTGATGTGTTTGTGGACTCACCGGTGAGGTCGTTGGTGGGCCATGATCCAAGCTCACATGCGCGGCACGTGTACTCGTCAAAAACAAACTCGTTCTCCTTACAGGGAGTGCATGTCCAACAGCAGCTGACCTCTCCTTTACGGATCACCTGCGGACGAGAGAGGAAACCGTCATAATCACATCAGGACATAAAACAGCTTCTCAGCTGCAGGGTCGTGACACAGAAATTAACTATGCAAATAGTACATTTAGGACAGCCGTTTTTATGATTCACCAGATGATAATAGTAAGTCAATATTTGACCCTGGACCACAAAACCAGTCATAAGGGCCAATTTTTCGAAATTGAGATTTCTACATCTTCTAAAAGCTGAATAAATAAGCTTTTCATTGATGCATGGTTTGTTAGGATGGGACAATATTTGGCCGAGATACAACTATTTGAATATCTGGAATCTGAGGGTGCAAAAAAAATCTAAATATTGA